AAAATACTTCTGTATGTGTATTAAACTTTAACTACCCCCCCTTTTTTTTACCCTTTAGAAAACAATGCATATTCCCCCTACCCACACACACACACACTATAATAATCATGACTTGATCCATAAGCTTTAATCTTTTTTTATGTGCTTCTATATACAATAGTAGGACTGTAGTTTAGTACATCTTTTGTGGGGTTGACTCGTCATTACATCATGGATACGAGTCTAAAATTTTTCTGGGCCTCCCACCTCAAGCCATACTGTATTTCTTGCTTTATACAGTGAACCATAATAATAGTCAAGGTTTTACTATTAAAAATTACAAACACAACATTTATTGAATAAGTATTGTACAATGCTCTCAGAATAAAACTTAGTTTTTGATTATCATATGTAAAAGAGTGAACTTACAAATGTACGATTAACGAATTTGACTTGACGAATAAATATCGAAAAGCACATGCTAAAGAAACTAATGTCTTGTGTATTTTATAATCAGAGCCAAAGACCAAATTTTAGTATCTTCACTATTTTCTATAATTTATGCCTTAAACTCCAATGTTATTGAAAGCCATTTGACACATGGACAAGTGAATAACTAGTGTTCAGAAGCACAACAAACGTTTGTGAATGTTTTAAAATTCTCCTTGGATAAGGTGGTCAATTCATTTTAGGTTACCACCACCCCCACTTATTGGCTGATGTCCATTGTACATATGGGTAAACCTAAGCAAATTTCGGGTAACAGCATCTTGCTCAAGGACATGACTAGATGCAGGCAAGCATGTGTAACATTTCGATTACAAGACCGAAGCACTAACCTCTTTGGCCACACTGTTCCATTGATTAATGAAAACATTCTTCTGACAGTTCAAAAATTTTACTACTAGTAAAACAATACAAATACTATTGCCTGTCCCTGTTAATTACCTCATGTTTCAAAAATTAGAAAAACAGAACCGAGGTGTTATGTCTCTCAGAGTGCATTAATTTTTTCAAAATAGACCATCCAAGACATTCAGTGAAGTTTCTCGGGAAAAATCACCAGACTTATTAGGTCGGGCAGTAAGTGTCAATATAGACACCTAATGTATTCATTATATAAATATGGGGTCCTGAAGGAGAGCCCAAGTCTAGCACATAACATACATTTAACAGAAATAAAATAACTTTTGTTTAAAAACAAAAAAACAATCTGACTCAAGGTGATGCATGGCTTCTCCAGGCAGAATAATATAATTATCATTATAAGTTACATCCATTCAGAATATAGCAAACTTAACTACACCCAAATACTCTACTGATGAAATAGTCACTACTCAGCAATGTGAAGTGTTTACTGCCTTTAATTGTAAGAAGTTTTACCCCAAAAGTACCTTGTACCAGGCACTATCTTTGGGATCATAAATCATTATATGACTGTCAAGTTTAAATGGGTGAGACCACTTTTCTAATTTATCCACCACGACAGTTTTGTCTTGAAAAAAGATTGAAAAAGTCAAAAATTACATTATTACAACTTTTTAGCCACATTACAATTTATCTGTAAAGAGATATATCCAAAATCCACTTCTAATTTATTTAATTAACTTCCATTAAATACAACAGGCTGTTGTTTTATAAATCAGTTTATTTACAAATTATTTAATTAGATCATTAAAATTCTGTGTAGAAAATAAAATCCACATTTGAATTTCCCCTAAATTTTATGATAATATGGAATATGTAAAATTAAACTTACTAGTCCTAATAAACAGATATACATGACAATAGTTCTAGTCATACACCAAAGATATATATATATATATATAAAAAAGACTAGAATAATAATTTTTGTAAGAGACATTTTCCCTTCTCTTCATGTCTTTACTGAATGACGCTGTCTAGCTGAATTTCTTTTATTTACTTCCTGACGACTTGAACTGTTGCTACTTTGTGTAAAGAGACTGTCTGTTGAATCTTCTGAAAAAAATATAAGTATTTAACTTATCTTAATTTACTGTGGTCCTAAAATTTCTTCAAGTAACAAAATATTGATCCTTTTTTCTCTCTTAGTTCAGCTATTACTTCAATTTTATAAAAATACTAGTACTATAACACAAGGGATATAATACAAAACCTAAAATGAAAAGGCCATCTTTAACACCCAACCTTCAAATGTCAGTCATCTTTATTAACCATTCTTTAAATGGCAAAGGTTATTAAAATCCAGGTTATTAAAAAGGTTATTAAAATAAAGGTATTTTGATTTTCAACATTCAAATATAATCTTTAAACATCGGCAGAAACTACATACTCCCAAACTCTCGTTGCTGTTTGGAAAGACGAGTTATAATAAATTGAAATATTTAATTTTAATGCTGACTTTTGATTTACATCAACTCATCTGACTGGTGTTTGGCTAACAAGATCTTACTTTGTGTTTGTTTTAAATGTCGCAAACTAAGAAAGCCGTCCGTTAACAGCAGAAATCATTCAGAGCATATTTAGTATTGAAACCACTTACAGTGAATCATTAGTTAAATCTTTCACCAAAAGGAACATGGAAAATATAAAAGTAAATATTTCTACAGTGTAATAAGTCAAAAACTATACACTATAATGAAACAGAACAAAATTTAAAAAGGAAAATAAAAAATCTAGTTGTACTGTAACATAGATAATCTTTGTGTAGAATTAATATTCAGACAATATAAATACACTGATGAATCAATGATATCCCCATAAATACACTGATGAATCAACGATATCCCCATAAATACACTGATGAATCAACGATATAAATACTCTGACAAATAAACAATATCCCCATAAATACACTGATGAATCAACAATATCCCCATAAATACACTGATGAATCAACAATATAAATACTCTGACAAATAAACAATATCCCCATAAATACACTGATGAATCAACAATATCCCCATAAATACACTGATGAATCAACAATATAAATACTCTGACAAATAAACAATATCCCCATAAATACACTGATTAATCAACGATATAAATACTCTGACAAATAAACAATATCCACATAAATACACTGATGAATCAACGATATAAATACTCCGACAAATAAACGATATTCCCATAAATACACTGATGAATCAACGATATCCCCATAAACATTCTGATGAATCAAGGATATCCCCATAAATACACTGTTGAATCAACGATATCCCCATAAATACACTGATGAATCAACGATATCTCCATAAATACACTGATGAATCAACGATATCCCCATAAATACACTGATGAATCAATGATATCCCCATAAATACACTGATGAATCAATGATATCCCCATAAATACACTGATGAATCAACAATATCCCCATAAATATTCTGATGAATCAACGATATCCCCACAAACACTCTGATGAATCAACGATATCCCCATAAATACACTGATGAATAAACGCTGATCCAATAACTAAAACTGATGAATCAACACTACACCTATACATACTATGAATAATATAAGCGATAAAATATTGGCCTTGAATATTTTTTTTATTTAATGATTTTTTTAACAATTCACTTTAATTTTATAATTATTGGAAAAAGGTTCTTCAAAAGTTTTAAACTACACATAATGAAATATTTGATCTCAGGATGTTTCTGATACCTCCAATCATTAACACCCAGTTCTTTACACTTTCATTTGTTACAGAAGAAAAAACAACTTATACACGATAAATACATACAACTGTTAACTGATTACTTATCACAAACTTCAATTGTTTTTAACTATTGGACTATAATCTTTGAAAAAACTGAAACACTTGCCACCATAGTATATTAACTTCTCAAAACTTTAGGTTGAATTATTTTCCTCTCAAACTTTCCCACGATTCAACTGCTGCTACCTTTACACCCTATTAGATCAATATAATGAGCCAATCTTGCTGTACAGTTTTATCAGGTATGTATACTGATATAAGCTCATCTCTAAAGAGCTAATGTGTTGTTGATATTTTTACCACTGAAGCAAACTCACTATACCCCATGGGAATTTTTGTAATCATTATTACTCACCACCAAACAAATCTAAGTGATCTATGTTAGATGTTCGTATTGTTGTATTTATTGTTACTCACCACCAAACAAATCTATTGAGATCCACATTAAATGTTTTATTATAGTCATTGCTATACACCACCGGGCAAATCTAAGTGATCTACGTTAGATGTTTGTATTGTTGTATTTATTGTTACTCACCACCAAACAAATATATTGAGATCTACATTAAATGTTTTATTATAGTCATTGCTATGCACCACTGGGCAAATCTAAGTGATCTATATTAGATGTTCGTATTGTTGTATTTATTGTTACTCACCACCAAACAAATATATTGAGATCTACATTAAATGTTTTATTATAGTCATTGCTATGCACCACTGGGCAAATCTAAGTGATCTATGTTAGATGTTCGTATTGTTGTATTTATTGTTACTCACCACCAAACAAATCTATAGGAGGCTCCAAAAACCCTTTCCTGCTTTTCTGTAGAGAGTATCTGTAAAATAGAGATGTAAAAGTGAATGAATGTTAAAACTATAATATTTGTTTGACAAATAATATATTTTGTTTGTAAAATAAAAAACAACTAATACACTGTGACGCATTATATCTTAACTAACACTGCTTAAACAATGTAATAAAACAATTAAACTTGAGATACCTTTTATAAATTTTCAATGTAATAATTTTTTAATCAGCAAAAACATATGAATTTCATTTAGAGCTTTAACTATCATATATATTAATAATTATGTTTATAATTACTGAGACGGTGGTTTATTTAATCTACTATCTTACAAAAAAAATCATTTTTGAGGATTAATAACACATTATAAATGGTTTACACATTATTTCACAGCAGACAAGAGCAATGGTGCAATAATCAATAGTTTGAGAATCTATATATGTGGTTCATAGAAAATCTCCAACCATCCAATAGTGCAATGCCACCATGGGTATTTTTATGGCTGGAGGTACAAGCCACAGCTCATTCCAACGAACTAAACATGACCCACAAAACTAATTTCAAAGACAACTATCCATACCAGCATTCTCAATCTCTGGTGCACGGAAAAGTTACAGAAAAGAAATGGCAGCATGGTGTGTATATCTCATGGTAGTCCACTGATCTATACAATAGTAAACGGCATCAATATACGAAAATCAGTACTTCCATAACATGGTGGAAAACCACTTAAACAAAATCCCACCAAAACCACAACTACTGCTACCAATGCAAAGTTTATAGATTATTCATTCATGAAATCCCTCCTCCAGAAAATTATTCCTAACATTTTGCAAATTCCTGAATCAACGTTGAACAAGGTAATTCGCACGGAGTTTATAAAGAAACAATACTAGAAGTGACGAGAAAATTCCAGTAAATTCTAAAAATGCTAACAAGAGATTATAGACTTTCCACCATAAGAAAAGTTGTAAAAAGTTTTTGTTTGTTTGGTTTTATTTTCATCACAGATTTTCTTATAACAGAAAATTTAAACTTTACAAAGTGCAGAGAAAAGGAAGATAAGCAGTAGTAACTGTTTTGAACTGTGAGAATAAACTAACATAGCATGTGACTAGGGTTACATCAACATTAAGTGTTAAGTCTGTGTCCAAAACACCTTCTCTATTAACCACAGAAAATTAAACCAGTTTCACACTACAAAACCACTTAACTACAAACCTAAGGAACCAGTTTCATACTACAAAACCACTTAACTACAAACCTAAGGAACCAGTTTCATACTACAAAACCACTTAACTACAAACCTAAGGAACCAGTTTCATACTACAAAACCACTTAACTACAAACCTATGGAACCAGTTTTATGCCACAAAGCCACTTAACTACAAACCTATGGAACCAGTTTTATGCCACAAAGCCACTTAACTACAAACCTATGGAACCTGTTTCATACTACAAAAACACTTAACTACAAACCTAAGGAACCAGTTTCATACTACAAAACCACTTAACTACAAACCTTAGGAACCAGTTTCATACTACAAAGCCACTTAACTACAAACCTTAGGAACCAGTTTCATACTACAAAGCCACTTAACTACAAACCTAAGGAACCAGTTTCATACTACAAAACCACTTAACTACAAACCTAAGGAACCAGTTTAATACTACAAAACCACTTAACTACAAACCTATGGAACCAGTTTTATGCCACAAAGCCACTTAACTACAAACCTATGGAACCAGTTTCATACTACAAAGCCACTTAACTACAAATCTATGGAACCAGTTTCATACTACAAAGCCACTTAACTACAAATCTATGGAACCAGTTTCATACTACAAAACCACTTAACTACAAATCTAAGGAACCAGTTTAATACTACAAAGCCACTTAACTGCAAACCTGTGGAATTCTGTGCACTTGTTTTGCTTAAATATTGAAAGCCAGTTCTACATACAGTAAAGAGTCTGTGGAAAGCATATTAAAATACATGGTCTAAGACTGACCTTGCCATCCTTAACAGAAGCTAATTACAATAGAAACTGTGGTGTAACCATCAGTTTTAATCTTGAATGAACATGATCAATGATGGAAGAAGTAGTACCAAGAACATTAATCTTGAATGAACATGATCAATGATGGAAGAAGTAGTACCAAGAACATTAATCTTGAATGAACATGATCAATGATGGAAGAAGTAGTACCAAGAACATTAATCTTGAATGAACATGATCAATGATGGAAGAAGTAGTACTGAGAACATTAATCTTGAATGAACATGATCAATGATGGAAGAAGTAGTACCGAGAACATTAATCTTGAATGAACATGATCAATGATGGAAGAAGTAGTAGTACCGAGAACATTAATCTTGAATGAACATGATCAATGATGGAAGAAGTAGTAGTACCGAGAACATTAATCTTGAATGAACATGATCAATGATGGAATAAGTAGCACCAAGAACATTAATCTTATAATGTGATTAACCCTCCATTTCACTTTGAAAAATTTAATCAAACCATTAAAAATGCTTACATATAGTTATAAAGAAATATACCTGTGCAGCTTTCCAGTATAAAAACCCATCACTCCAGCCAAAATTATTATAAAGACTTGCAAGAAAACATTCTGAAAAAAAATTAATAGTTCATTTCATTTTTCATCATTGGCTACAGTTTTGTTGTTGCCTATTATCTGAATTGAGAAATACACACAGACACACATAACTAAAATAGATTAGTTTGTGGCAAACATTTTTAATTACTAACCACTAGGACAGTCTTAAAAAAGGTTTTTTTTTGTTTACAGATTAATTTTTACTAATCACAAGATAAATTCCTAGTAGGAAATATACTTTTACTTTTTGGGTGATTGGTATGTAAAATGGATGTACTTCTGAAGAACACCACCTCCAAAAAGAAACCTTCACAAAATATAATACACTTACAATATTAAGAGCTAAAAAATAAGAAGCAGTTGTAGTTTCCATGACAATTGAGGATTTGTTATTTATTTAAGTACGAACACTGACCACCAACCTTTATATTCAGGATAATTTATAAACATCATACGCAACACTGTTATTATAAAAGGGGGTTAAAATATTAGATGAAAGGCGTGTTTCACTTACATTAATGTATGGCGTCTTAGGAAGAATGTACGCACAAATAACAGCAAGGATCCCTAAAACAAATCCAAATCCTGCAGCAACCCATGGTACTTGTTGATCATCTGTTCAAATTTATAAACCTTTCTAGAAACAAATATGCATGGCAGTAAAAAAAAAAATACCGTTTCTGTACATGTGACAATTATGCATCACGAGACAGTTGGAATATTGTTAAAATAAACTGTATATGTCGAAAATACATTAATAGCTGAAAATCTCTGGGATCTCAAGGCCCAGTATTATACAGCCTGAGTTTTCATGTAAAATGTTCATAGTTCTGATAATTTTTATAATAACCATTTTTAAACTTAATTTTTATTTGGTGTCAAATGTGTAAGTAACAAAACCATGCTTCATCAAATGTGTAAGTAACAAAACCATGCTTCATCAAATGTGTAAGTAACAAAACCATGCTTCATCAAACATGTAAGTAACAAAACCATGCTTCATCAAATGTGTAAGTAACAAAACCATGCTTCATCAAATGTGTAAGTAACAAAATTATGCTTCATCAAATGTGTAAGTAACAAAATTATGCTTCATCAAATGTGTAAGTAACAAAATTATGCTTCATCAAATGTGTAACTAACAAAAAATTAAAAGTCAATTTTTCCTTTCATATAATATTTTTTAAACAAAATATACACATACAAAATTATACATGATATACTCTTACTTTGAGCTATTTGAACCCAAAATAAACACCCTTGTTTTTAAATTCTTAGAACCACAAATGTTGGCATGTGCATTGGTTCTGCAATTTACAGTTATCGTAAAGCTTTGTTGTCTTCAAACTGTTATTAACTTTAAAAAAGGAGTTAAAAATTACTTTGATAAGTGTTAGTAACATTCACAGACATACTGAATTCTCCAATACGTTTTTTTTGAAAATAAATTTGTTATAAATTAAGTATGACAATTATAAAGTATGATACTGCCAAGCCACAAACATTCAGACATGCCTCGAGCAGGGACATGATTTCATGAAAAATAAGTACAGTCTCAAGAAAGATAGATTAATTGTGTTAATTGATAAGCATAACAACAAACAGCTTGGACTACGGATATCCAACAGAAAATTATCTGCTGCAGGATATGTGGAAAATCAATAAACATGGTCACGAGATATATCACTTAATGGCATTGAGATATTAGTAGAATAACATCTATAAAGGTTCAGGACTGCTGTTGGAGTATGACAAACGATCACATTAATTTTGTTAAGTGTCATAAATCACTCCTGCAAAGAATTCATGGAGCTTTCACTACATCCAATGTGAGTGGACTCCACCTGAGAAGCCTAAGCAGCCTGCTCTCTGTGATAACAGATACGTAAGCCAAGCCTTTAAAGCAAGAATAATCAGAAATGTTAACTCTGGATTCTTAACAATAAGTCATAAATTAAATGGAGAGGTTAGAGCTAGAGATGAGGTGATTGATGGAACTTAATAACTGATTAATCATCAGACTCATTAATCAATCACATTCAACTAATCAATCATTCTTACTTGAGAATTGAATAGTTGAAATAATCACAAATAGTAACAATCAGTAACATTTACTAGATTAAGCTGAACAACTTTGAATTATTGAAAAATATTAACAAGAAATCATAATGGCAATATTTTGATTATTGTACAGCTGGGATAAAGAGAAACTTATTTGAATCATAATTTTGAAAATAGTAATAAGTGGAAAACTAATTTAGATTAGTTGAATATTTTCTTGACATTAATTAAATTACATGAAATTTCAATTAGTCATTTATTCTATGTCACAAATCAATGTAATCAATACTCATAGGTAATCAATTATATGGATTAATCAAGTTAATCACCCAACTAGTTAGAGCCACTTCACACAGATTTCAGGTAATGTATAATACTGGTCGGAACATATAGAAGATGAACAATGGTGAAGGAATGTGATGGAGTGTTATGACGTAGACTGAATCCACACATTCTAGGTGGGATCTATCAGTAATGTCTACAGGATTATTAATCCTTTTTCAGGAACTAGTTTGTGGTCAGAAAGTCATCATATTTCTTCTCAGACATGAAACACGTATAACCCACAATTGATTTAAAATATCAATAATCTTGGATTGGTCTGAACAGTATCCAGTTCTTAACTCTAGAGAACATCTTTCAAACTATCTGGAGGGATTAATTTGAAACATTAGGTCACAGAGTTCCAGTTGTTATCAACTGATGGAGCTTTTGAAATGGTAATAGTCAAAAAGTTAGCCAGACATGTTGGAACCTGGTTAAGAGCTGCCTGATTGAAAAGCAGCAGTTATTCACATGAAGGGTGGTTCCCCAAGATATTAAGAAAATGTTCACTAAAACTTGTTTGCTTTCTTCTTTTTTTTCTTTACAGTAATGCCACTAAGGCCATCTACGAACCCATCCCCCTAGTTTTGAAGTGCTAATCAGATGGAAGTCAACTGGATGGCAGCATTCACCACCAACTGTTGGGCTATTCTTTTTACCAATGGCTGAAAGGGAGAGCACATTCAACAATAAGTTTTGATCCCACGACCAGCAGATAGTGAGTTAAACACCCTAACCTACCAGACTAACACTAAGTTCAGAGAGATAAACAGATACACACTACATAACTCAGTATCCTTCAAACATCCAGTTAGTGGGCCCTAACTGACTACTCTGAGAAAAACTGTGAGCCACAAAATACCACAGTTATATTCGCTAATGGATACTCTGATCCATATCTTGCCAATGAGCAAAACAGCGATGCAGCAATTACTCATCACACAAAATGATAAGAAAGCTGTAACATTTCTCGATGACATATAATTAGTAAAACATTGAATAAAGGTGAAATATGAACAATTATTATACAAAGGTACAAAGTTTGACATTTCTAAAGGTAAATCATGGACAAGATTAATAACAATTTTCTGATAATGTTTTGTGGTTTTTAACATTTCTAGGATAAGACAAACACAATATAAGTGAATAAAGACGTTCAACGAGTGGGCAGATTTTCCATCTTATTGATCCTTGTCTTGTTTTTGTAAAAAAAGAATTTTTTTCTACAGTTCTCATAAACTCAAAAGTACCTTTTTGTTGCTTCACAAGTTCTTGTTTGGTTTTTCTTATTAATTCAACAAGACCATTTTCATCTTCTTGTAACTGAAGAGCCTTCTGTAAATAACACAAAAACCGAGTAAATTTTCAGACAAAAAAAAAGTGAAGAAAAATTCATAACAATAACTTATCTGATATTACCACACTTAATTCTACTACTGAAACCTGCTCATATGTATTCATATATAAAATATATGTAATACATCCTATCCAATATATACACCAAGCATGTGGACAAATTTTCTAGCTTGTATATAGGTTACAAACTAAATAAAAGTTTTATATAAATCTGATCTCCAATTTAAAAGATGCAAGCTAAAGTTGAGCTTTTCTCAACCCAATACTTCAGAGCCAATATAATGTTCTTCTAAAGCAATAATAACAAACAGAAGTTGTGTTTATGAAACAAATATGCCATCACTAATGTTATAATGTATGTATAAATCCCTCCAATTTGATTGACCTTTGACCCATGACCTTCAAAAGTTAATCAGATCTAGGACTTGGTACATAGCATCTGTTGTTTAACCTCGGTCAATATCCATCGATTCATTCAATCTTGATATATGCTATCCATAAAGTTGGAGAACATTTTCTATGTACCAGTGACCCTTTGACCATGACTTTCAAAGGTTAACCAGGTCTAGAACTTTGTATTTACTATCAGTTCTATAAATTTGGTCAAAATACAGCTATTCATTCAATCTTGATATGTCATATGTATAAGATCAGGATGGACAAACAAGGTCAAAACAAAGCTGTTAAAAATAAAACTATTATAATTATGAAGCAGTGGGGACACAAGAATGATAATCACTGTGGCTAAACTACAATCAAGATGATGAAGCCTAACAGAAATCACAAAAATGATACCATCACAGAAATTAATACAGAATAGTTTAAAAATGTTTGTTTCTGAAACTTTTCATGGATAAAAGATCCACTGTTATTTTTCTTATATGGCAAAACTTGAAGAAAACAAAAAACTGATTTAAGAAACTTGAATGCATGCATCTTGCAAAGTTTAACATACTTGTGTTTCTATACATAGCTCATTATATGCTTTCATTTTTAATAACATAGTTAGCTTTTCATAAATTACAAAAACTAATGAAATACTACTACTCTGAGGATGAAAATAATTTTGAACAGATGTTTCTCTTTTAGTTTTTCTCAATTAATTCTAACGAAAATGTTTTTCCTTAATTATATGCTAATTTAATATTTTTATATTCACACACATCTCTAAAAGTTAAAATAGGAAAATAAAAAAAAGATCCCTTTAGATATGACTACTACTTTGGAGGTTAACTTTAAAAATAAGGTAGTCAATTGTTTAAGTGATTAATATGACATACTTACTCTGTATGATTCTAAAGCTTCTGCATAATGCTGTGTCTGATATTCTACTTCAGCTTTGCGGAAATATCCCTAACATCAAGTTGAAACAATTTATATTATACAAAATTAGGCTTAGTCTGAAGATGCATATATAACCTATCTGACAATTAATCTGATCACGTTAACTTGAGAGACAGTTTATAAAATATAAATTTATAAAACTACCCAAATAAATGTTTACATTTATTGAATATTCCATTCTAACACCAACTCATTTCTAGAATACGTTAACTTAACACAGTTGATCAAGCAATTTTTATAGTTTTATTAGCTTGCATGTGCAACTTTTTGGAACAATAATTCAAAGAAACACAAGTTTTATTCTTTACAGTTAAATAATTTACTTATAGCAATGCTTTACAAGTTATTAAGGTAACACATTTCTGTTGTCCTTTATCTTCAAGATGGAAATTAGAAAATACAATTTATACAAACAGTTACTAAGTTATTACTTAAATACTAAAACAAGATAACTTACAGGGTAACACTGAATTAGTATAAACATTTTCATTTTAACTTCTGTTAGATTAACTAATAATGCTCACTTACTTTCATTAAATAACTTTTTAAATTTGTTAAACTGTGTGCAGTCGTGACTGAACCATTATCATGGTGTTAAGCATACAACCATCAAGCTACAAAACTTAATTTCTTAATTAAGTCAGTTACCACTTTCTAGTTAAAGATTATCATGGTGTTAAGCATACAACCATCATGCTACAAAATTTAATTTCTTAATTAAGTCAGTTACCACTTTCTAGTTAAAGATTATCATGGTGTTAAGCATACGACCATCAAGCTACAAAATTTAATTTCTTAATTAAGTCAGTTACCACTTTCTAGTTAAAGATTATCATGGTGTTAAGCATACGACCATCAAGCTACAAAATTTAATTTCTTAATTAAGTCAGTTACCACTTTCTAGTTAAAGATTACCTTGCATATTTTCTACTTTACTTTCTCCAGTATTTGTTTTATTTATTAAAGATACAAATTGTGTTACATCTATTTTTGCACGTGTACAGAATATCAAAATAATTCTAGTCTCACCTTGGCCCATTCTGGATTCAGCTCTATAACTTTATTTGCATCTTGCAAGGCATAGTAATATTGTTGCATCTTGAGAAAAGCAAAAGATCTATTACTGTAGATCTGATAAATAGAGTCATCTATCTTCAGAGCATGAGTATAATGAAAGACGGCTTCAGCATATTTCTCAGCTTTTATACACTTGTTACCCGTTTCTTTTAGGTCTTGATCCTTAGCAAACACAAAAGCCATAATAAATACAAGGTATCTGTATAGAATTTAAAATATAAATACTGATAGATCTCCGAGCTTTAATAACTTAAGCAACTATAATTTTGGTTTAATAACTTTTACAAAAAAATGAATAATGTAAAAAAAAAAATAATAATTGTTGAACACATAAAGGTCAAAGAAATTAAGATTCACCTTTAAACATTACTTATTTTGGTGACTTAACCTTGAATAGCTTGTTAAACTATGGGATTATGAAACTTCACAATTTATTGATTGATTCAAATTGCAATTAAACTTTAAATTTAAAGTGCTATATGCCATCATTATATTTCCATGGCTTACAAATCTCCCTAGTTATGCAGGAAATTAACTATTTTGATCCCACCCCTTCTCTCCAAAAATTATAGTCTTATCAGTTTCTTCCTGAATAATCAGAAATGTCTTAATTGAAGTTTGTAATTCTTGTCAATCTGAAGGAAGTGGCCCCTATTGCCAAACCAAGATGAACTTTTCAATGAGTTTTGGTTTTAATTAATTAGATATCAACAGAGTGGAGCATACTTTCAGCACGGGTTATGTGTTGTGTTAGCATCAATTTATAAAAAGCATGAATCTAGCGCTTAAATCCAATACATACGTACTTTGCTGTCTCTTAACACCATACACAAAAATCAATCACGGAAGTTCTTAAAGTTGGTAAGGATGAATTTTGTAAATCAAACTTCATTTCTGGCAATTAAAATCTAAGTTCTACTTGCAAAGAAGTAGCCACTGATCATGATCATATGTATCTCAATATTTGATTTAACATTCCTGTTCAACAGTTTTCTCTACAGAAAGAGCTGTTTACGTCAACTAGTTCTAGACCAATTACCCTTACCTCTCACCATTATATTCATATGGTCAGTGAAAAATATTACTGTACCAGAAACAAAGTGACTACCTATGTAAGCTGATCAATGGCATCACTATGAAATCTTAACACTAGCATCATGTGAACACTGATTAATATTTTAATAACAGCCATGCATATAATATCATACTAGTTCAACATGTTTATAAATTTTCAGTAAAATGTTATTTGTCTTATAGGCATTTGTTCTTGACTATACCTATTTCATTATTTCGCATTTTGGATATTTTCTGGTGTATATATATTTAACAACACATATTCCATAGACTTATTTGTATGTGAACTGGTTAACAGGAGTTTTATAGCTTTGGACTATTAATTACTTGGTTTTGTTAATTTATAAATTAACATTTAAATAAATCATCTGTACATAAATAACTTTCTGCATACAACTTAGGGTAAAGTCAGACTGGATTAAGCTGTTCAGTAGTAAGCTAATATTACATAACAGTTTAACACAGACAAAAGTAGAACTTAGAAGTAAGACATTTTGCCAATTTTTAAAATTTTACAAATAATTATCTGCAACTAACAGTGACACAAACAACAAACACTTCATCATCTAGGTACACCAACAAACAAAAGTATAAAAATATTTACTAGCAGACCAATCTCACCTTCATTTCAAATACTTGAATTATTTGGAATTCAACTTTTGATTAATTTTCTTCTGTCCTCTATAAGTTATAACTTATAAGTCTATTCCCCTAAATTAAAAGTCTAAAACAAATTTCCGTGACTGACTTGTATTTTAAAATAATTATTATATAACATTGATAAGGTTACTAACGTTAATTAAATGGTTTGTTAATGAATTAAATTTCAAAACTTTGCAACTTATTATTTCTTTAAAACATACTATAATTTTCTAATGCAATCACATCCACACTAATTGTAACTAACAAATACAGGTCTAATACCACGCGCAAACCACTAAACTATACGTCTCAAACCTAACATGATCAGCCCTGATTTGTTTAATATCACATGCTCATAAGTACGCCATCTAATGTAATGACTTTTATATAACAAATATATAGAATATACCATCTTATTAAGAATACATTCTTTTTAATTACACTTGACATTAGCATTATCTCTGTTATACTTTTAACACTGCATTCTTTAGCCAATCCCTTAATTATTTTCAAGAACTAAAATAGTATTTAATATTATTAGTCCAACCACACTAAGTTCGCTATATCCATTGCTGACGACACGTTTCACTCAATCCAGAGCTCATCAGGACGGCTGGAACAAAACAAATACAGTAGTGGTCGAAAAACTTTTTATTTAAGCCATTTGTTACAACAACAACTGTTATAGTGTGAACGCCTTTTTCAAGCTGGTATTGTTAATATAAAATAATTATTTTATTACTCATTATGGAAATTTAAGTTTTATTGTGTCATTGTTTTCTTTGCGCAATATAATTGTTCAAGGGGTTTCATGGTACAGGGATGTTCCTGGAAATTTATATTGTTGTTTGGTTGGCAGGAAGCTTAACGTTATGTGATAAGAACATTACCTAAAGTCTGGAGTTTTTCCACTGTTTTAGAACACTTTGAATAGTATAAAACCCGAGTTACGCTAGAGAGTGATTTATTGAGTTATTATATTAGTCTATCAATGAGTAATCAGTGCCTGATTTACTGTCAACCAGCTTGTTAGTTCAGTGCTGTGAGTAATGAGTTTATGTTTCAACAAAAAAAATGATACGAGAGAATTAGTAAGTAAGTAGGATTTCTGTTAGATTTAGTTTATTTGTGAAGTTAAGCCTGTTTCTCCATGGATGTCAGTTATGCTAACTGCAGAACATATAATAAAAAAAAACGTTTTTTAAACTATAAATGGACTAGATTTTCCATTTTGTAACCAAGTATTTCATAATAAATCAATAGCATAAATCATGAAAACTCATTTCAGTGTGTGGTAGTCAGCAGGGAATCTGTCGACTGGACTTTTGCTCTATATCTCATTCAATGTATCATTCTTCCTTTTAGATCATTCTGTTCTCAGTCCTTTTTATCCGTTCTGGATCGAACTTGTGGTTTTGTTTTAAAATCTTGATTCCGTTTAATCGAGATATGTTTAACAAAAGCCCAATTATGTGCAGGATGAAGAGTTTGGTATTTTCCGGGTCGGGGATGTACCTCAGAGTAGGTAGTAAGGAGGTTATAAAAAAACGAATATTTGAAATTTTTTCTCCAAGATCTGCATCTGAATACTTCGTACAAGGAAAGATATAAAACACGGACACACAATTACAAATGTTTAATTGCACAAAAGCAAAACACTACAAAATAATGGGCAAGTGTATGTGGAATTACGTGAGAGAGTTGTGAAAAAAACTTTATTAAGAGCTTTCGCCAGTTCCCATGTAATCCCTGTAAATTACGCTAAAACAAGAAAGTTAAAAATAACTCTTACAAGTTAAAATGAAAATAAAGTGAACAAAGTATACCAAAGTCCACGCTAAGTTTGAATTTTATTAAAGACTTATTTGAATTTTTAACTACTAGTTAAGCTAAAAACAAAAACAAACAAAAACTCCGATTTCCAAGAATGCCGGAATCTGCAACAATAAAAAATAAAGTTAAACAATATATTCACTTAGGTAGGTCCACTTTATAACGGAAGATTCAATCCTGATAATTACACAGTACATCCGAATTTAGCTAAACTGACTGAGTTTTAAGGCAAGAAAATAAACATATTGGCTGTTTTGTATAAAATGAAGAACAATCTTTATTTATATCTAAAGCAAAAAAATAAAAAAAATGTGTGTGTACTTGCACAGAACACAGGACTGTCACATCCTACAGCATCAATGAACCAGTTAGGAGTTTCCATTTCATGAAATATTTTCCTGTTCACTGACTCACGATAGAAACCTAATAGAACTGTGTAGATCCAATGGTCCTTACTTAACAAGGAATGTGAGATTTATCCATATAGTATGGGGACACACTAGGTTTTTCTACCATTTATTTAAAAGAGTTAAAAAGTAAAAAATTATGTTATTTTTCGTAGTTTCTATCTTGGACACAGATAGGTGCTCAAGTAAGTTACAAACTTTAAACATTTTTTATTTGGCAAGCAGGGGTCTAAGCAAAGGCTAAAGCCTGCTAATCTGGTTCTCTTACAGGAAATGCAGTGTTGTATTAGCACATTGAGTTATAATTGTCAGCGAATGAGATAACAACTCTAAATTATCTTCCCCTTAGTCTGCACGCTCATTGGGAAGCTTATCTTGCAAGGACCAATCACTAATGTTGTTTATAACTTGAGAGTTTTTTAGCATGTTTAAGGGAGCATTTTTGTTTGTGAAGGCAGAATTATATTAAGTGTCCAAAAAAAAGTTTAAGTCTAACCATAGAAAAGCCTGTTTTGCAAACTAAAGCTTGAGGTGCAAGGTCAGAATTTTGATTAAACAGGTCATTGCACCTTCGAATAGCCCAAAGGTTTAAAAATAATCAAACTAAAAGCTACTGCGTAAGTTAGCATATACACATATTGTGTTGTAGCTCCTACAAATTATCTATGTAATGGCCCAGCATTCATTTGAAGAAGAGTTTAACATTGTCCTACTGTATGGAGTCTTTCAGGAATGTCCAGACTGCTGCCATATTGTACACTCTGGAAAACCGCCATCCTTTACATCAAAACGTTTCATCGGCTTCGTACTACAGGATCATTTACCCAGATACGATATAGGGTCAAATTAAGAATATAATCCAAGAATGCCCATGGAGCCACCACATAGGAACTTGTCACACTGGGCAGCATTTTGAACCCAGCTTTTGAATTATTTGTAATACAACCATTGGTGAGGATATTTGTGTGTGTGTGCAGGCCAGTCTCGTCTATTATATCACACAAACAACAATTGAATCACGTTCCTTTCAATAACTGAATCCTCGAACCTTTCATTACTGCTGTGACCAAATACCCGAAATATCACAGCACTAATAAAAGATACGTTACGCATACATACACTTAATCACAAATATGTATAAACATACACATTACTGAGAAATACTAATAACTGTATTTGAACACAAACGTTATTACCATTGGCTAGTCAACAGCAAATCTCGCGCTTCTTTCTCTAGGGAAAGACTAGCCTCTTAAACAAACAAAAATAAAATCAATAACGCCTTGTAAGAAAAAAATCAACTCTCTGACCGTGGGTTTAATAAATAAATATATATTTCTAAGTGTTTTCAAGAAATCCATATGTCGATAGACACACATGCATTAAATATCTATGCTAATACGACACATAGAAGCCGATCCTGAACTCCGGTTCTAATGCCACAAGCAATTGAGAATGGTGGTCGGGATGCTAGTCCATCACTCTTATCACTAATTATACAGATGGTTAGATCGAAAAAAAAAAAAAACGGGGGTAAAGCATCTTGCTAAAGGACACAAAAACATGGAATGAAGAAAGTCTTAAACTCGCAATCTGAGGGTCGCGGGTTCGAATCTCCGTTCCGCCAAACATGCTAGCACTTTTCCAGCCGTGGGGATGTTATAATATGACGGTCAATACAACTATTCGTGGTAAAAGAGCATACCAAGAGTTGGCGGTGGGTGGTGATAGCTAGCTGCCTTTCCTCTAGTCTTTCACTGCTAAATTAGGGACGGCTAGCGCAGATAGCCCTCGTGTAGCTTTGGGCGAAATTCAAACCAAATCTTATTTTGGCGTCAGCGGAATATAAAAAAAAATCTGTGAAACTTTATACTTAGTTTTATATCGTAGTTGTAAGCATCTTCTAACCTACGTACCGGAAGAGTTTACTCCCTAAGTTCATTGCTAGGAACAGAAAAGAGATTAACAATATTACGTCTATTAATCATATTTTAAAACCAGTTTAACAATAGAAAGTACAAAAACTTTTCCGCAAAGAAAACATCAATTATATATCATTGCCCTTTGAACCAATATATATACGCTACTGCTAAACGAAGCAGCATTAATTAAATCAAATAAATATATAGATACTTTTATCTAATATTTTGAAAGAACAAATGCTTTCTTAAACGAAAAGCGCATGAATAAACATGTTTGTTTGAATTCTTCAATCTGTAATAAGACTCGTTACTAAAGCTTTTGATAAACAAAATTACCGTAGTGGTCATATCCATAACGAGTTTGACAAAGGATAATAGGCAAGAACGATCAGAACCATACTATACTAACGCCACCTATGCAATTTTATATACGTGTTAAAATATAGGTAGTATATAAATATTCCCATGATACATTAATAGAAGTGAATAATAAGAAATCAGAGTAAATATTATTATTAGTATATTTGGTTTGATATTTTATATTTCTGTGCATTCACTTCTATGTAATACTTACATTTTTTTTATTCCAATAAAAGCAAACTTGGACGAGCCTTAGAATTGTAAGTCTGTCTGTTTATGCAAATATCAATTTATTCATGCAACTAAGAAATCGAGTTTCGAACGACAAAAAGCATTAAAAAAATTTTGGTTCCAATATCTAAAAATTAATTAATAAACTTATAAAAAAACGTAAAACACTAAATGATTAATTAAATCAGTTTATTTCAAACTTACAGTCTCCAATTCTCGTATACATTTCTTTGTATTATGTACAGTCGTATAACTCGTGTTAATAAACATGTTTATATTTTAACTCCCATTGTAACATGCGTCCTTATGTTATAGAACGTGTTTCAAGTCTAACAACTCAAGCTTAAAAACTGTGATAATGAGAAAGATAAAACGTGTTGATAAATTTGGGCAGGTAAAAGTTAGACAAATTAATTTTCTATGAAAAAAACTGCCCGATACTATTGACTACAGTATTAAAACAGTGCAGTTTTCCATCGCGATGTATTTGTTACCACTTTTCTCATTGTTTAAAAAACTTGTATAAGCGTAAAGAATTTTTCAATTAATGAAGAGGTTGGATCGAACGAGTTTTAACAAAGAAAGGCTAGTCATGAGAGTTAATCTCTAGTTCGATTTGTGAAAACCAAGCTAGAAGATAAAAGTACTTAATTAAAAGTGAAGTAGACATTAGGAAAATTTGCTGTTAATCAGCATAAGAGAAAATAAGAGGTAAATTCAGTTACTTGGAGAAGTGGCTATGTAACGAAAAATTGGACAAGGTTGCTGGAAAGGTGGTAATTGATCAGTACTAGCATATAGCTACCACCCCCACCCCATAGTATACCCTAACCTCATATTTCATAGCTAACTGAAATAAATACATTCTGCGAAATCAAGCTTGACCAACAAAAAGGCAGAAAGGTATAGTCGAGGTATTCAAACGTCGGTAAATTCCTTTGGGAGCCAATCAAAATTAAGATCATTCAGGAAATGAATTCGTGGCATATTCATAGAATAATTATTGGTAAAAATCAGTTAGATTAACAACTTCTAATATAAAGAAAAGCCAGTGCGTTTTGGTAACATTACGTTCCAACAATGGCTTCTATGTCATGTTGCTTAGCAACAAAAGTATAACTTAATATTGTTGTTAGTCTATGTACTGAAAGTATAAAATGTATTGACAACAAAATTGGAAAAATATTTGTTGATTTCTTAATTTAGTCTCCATTGATTAAAGATGTTAGTTTTATATTAATAACGTTAGTGATATAACATAAAATAGCTTAATTCAGAAACGATTTAAGTTTAAAATTGAATCGATATTTTTACTTTCATTTTCAATTTTATGCACTTGGCTCTAGGCTAGGTGATCCCACAGTACGTCTTCACTTTAGGCTTATTATACCAACACTCACTACACTTATAAGGTTTCACGTCCTAACCCTCACAGCCCCCTTGCAACTCCCGTCACTAAAATCATAATGAGCAGACAGTAATCGAACTATTCTATATCGATAAATGCATTTTGGCTTTTATGACTCCTCCTATTTTGACAAATCAAGCATGACGTGACACACACTGCCTTCTATTTGAATTAGATCAGCACAGTTAGAAATACGAGAATAACAGAAGAGCTGGGAGAAGTGGCCGCTGATCTAAGTAAATAAAAATAGTTGAAATAATAACAAAGGCTCTTTTAACATAAAAAATAAAAGGTTAGATGTTTCATCACCGTGAGTAAAATATGTTCTACACACACACACACAATTAATATTCTCAAACTCTCTCGTTCCTATGAAGTTGTTGTTTAATGGCTATTATACAGGTTCAACTTAAACAAAAAAAATACACAAGCATATTACCAGCTTAATTTTTTTATTCTTCTTTTAAAGTCACCTCAAAAGTGAAGAATGAACAAAAGCAAAAATAAACAATAAATCCCACTTTGACACTTTGGGGACAAGAATTTTTTTCACCAAACAAGTTTAATATATACGTGTGTGTGTATATATATATATTTAGATATGTATTTATACACACACATACCTACAAGAACACAAGGTCGACTCTGAAATCACAGTACACCACAATGTATGAATAGAAGGTGCCTAGGATAACGATGTTTTAATTCGTACTAAAATTCTTTTATTCAAAAATAAGCTTGAAATACCCCCATGAAGTATCACTTACACGTGAAAGTCTCATGAGCAAACAGTTTTTGTAACTAGCAAAGAACCTTAAATTCAAGCTAAATATACATAATGTGATACTTGTGGATTATACACTGCATTACGTTTACCTAAATAGTCACTCTTTCAGACGATTCAATAATTCCTTTTATTTTTAACATTCCAAAGGACTCTTGTATTCAACCTCTGTGAGGCAAACACTTTAATTTAAAAACTAATAAACTAAATACAAATGCATGTTTATTCTTTAAGCAAAGAAATATTATGTGTGTGTTTTTTTTGTAAGTTCTTGGAAGAGACCATATTTTCCCAAACAATGTAATAAAGAAAGAGAATACACGTATTCTGTCTGTGAAAAATTAGCTAATTCAGGCAACAAGTTTAATAAATCATGCCTTTTTTTTTCACAAAACAACAATAACTTGATAAAAGTACAATAAGAAATTATCACACAATGCTAGATTAAGTGAACATTTACAAACCTTAGAAACTTCAGTTTCTCTCAAGAAACTTTTGTGCTAACGAACACCGATATGAAACATAACCTACCACACACACTAGAATATGACATGAACAACAATATTAAGGAAAAGCTACTCTACACTACAAAATCTGGAGTTCAGCAATAAGTGATACACAAAAAAAAAGACAGGGGCAACAAACGTTTCTTACAGCAAATAGGTTACTCTAAAAATAAGGGGAGAACTTCAAAGTTTTTTTTTATGTTCCCAATATTTCTATTGGGGAAATAACGACCAGGCCAATAATCAGTATTTCTTTTATCAGAAATAAAGCTCATGTTACAGTCAACCATTATGTCAAGCTGAACGTGAGCTCATAATTTAGTTTGGATTCCAGTAGGAATAATTTTGTTTAGTTCCTCCTGGTCCTTTCTGTTGACCCAGCCCCTGAGGACCTCCTCGTTGTGGACCCCCAGAAGGGGCTCCTCCAGCCTGAGGAGAGTCCTGTTGTATATGATGGTGAAGCAAAGTTGAATGGTGCTGTCCATGCGTCAAAACTGGAATAAATGGAGCATATGGGGTTGAAGATGCTCCTATGAGTCCAGGGTTCTGTGTTCCTGCCAAATTGAAGGGTGGAGGAGTACCTGTGTGAAATCCTGGCTTGTCAAAAGTCTGAAATATACATGAAATAACTGTATGAGAACAAACCCAAAACTCTTACTTATTACATGCAATTAAACAACAATTTCAACAGTTTTAGCCAAATAGATACAGTGCCTCAAGATTAAACAATAAAACCAGTTAATTTATAAGGCTACTAAGACCAATGTTTCACATGGTTCAGTTACAGTTGTGGAGATAAAAATTAACATTTGTATTTACACAGTACTTTTATGTATATAATTATTAAATCCACACAAGCATTTCTTAAAAATTCATAAACAACTTTCTTTAGCATTGTAAATGTGAAAGTGGCTTCAATAACTTTACTTTCTACTGGCCAATTTGGACGAATGAATGGATAAAGGTATAACTTCAAATGTACAACTATAATAACGATTATGTTAATGAACAGATGTAGCATGAAACTTTAGTAAAGTCCAAGACTTATACGGGGAATGTAATATTGATGTCTTTAATCAAATGTGCTACTGAACATAAAAAGGTTTAGCTTCAGTGAAAATGGGAACTGAATGAAATACTGAGCATACTAAATGATGTAATTTCAATCAAATATACAACCAGAAAGTGAAATGTGTTTTTGAACTCCGTAAAGGTACATACTATCTGTTGTTGACTATGGTAAGGCTACAGATACTATCTGTTGTTGACTATGGTAAGGCTACAGATACTATCTGTTGTTGACTATGGTAAGGCTACTGTTACTATCTGTTGTTGACTATGGTAAGGCTACAAGTACTATCTGTTGTTGACTATGGTAAGGCTACAAGTACTATCTGTTGTTGACTGTGGTAAGGCTACAAGTACTATCTGTCATTGACTATGGTAAGGCTACTGTTACTATCTGTTGTTGACTGTGGTAAGGCTACAAGTACTATTTGTTGTTGACTATGCTGCACAAACACTGAAGCCAGACAGATTTAATCTACTAAAAACAAACAAACAATAAAAACTTTAATATGAGGGAGAAAAAAAATTAGTTCTGAAACTGTCACACCAAGGAAACCAAACCTCACCTGCACATTATATAATACATACACTGGCCCTTATTGTAATAAGATGGAACAGCACACCTTATATTTTGTATGCATTGTACACAGTAATTTTGTTACTTTTGAGATTATCTTGCATGTTTCATCTAGCATTAATGTTTTAAGAAAACAAGACTATTTGTTTCCAGATTAATAATGTTTAGGATTAAAACAGCCAGTGTATAATGTGATTCAAGTTCCAGATTAATGATGTTTAGGATTAAAACAGCCAGTATATAATGTAATTCAAGTTCAGGATTAATAATGTTTAGGATTATAACAGCCAGTATATAATGTGATTCAAGTGAAAGTCTCCGTACAACAACTTGGAGAAAGATTCATAAATTGTCTTGTTTCTAGTATTAAAAATGGACTTTTCCAATTCAAACAAAAAAACAGAAAAGTAAAATAAGATGTAAAAATGATATATATATAAAATAGACTAGACTATTCATGTTGATTAAGAATAAATAATAAGGTACAAGAATTGAATCTGAATAAACAAATTACATACTAAGCCTGTGGAAGTTGTTACTGTTTATTGGTAGTACAAATGTACAGGCACGAATGAACATGCTAATAACATTGGGCAGTGAAAATCAGTTTGATTAATATGTTGTATGTGTGTGTAAATATTTCTGTATGTAAAATCTCCCCCTGCACCACTCTGGAGGAGGGAACTGAAACGTTCTTGAGAGCCTAATTTTTTCCAAGGCGTAAATAAGACAATATGTTTAGAAATCCTTTTAATCACTAAGATCTATTTATAACATAATTATTTTCCAAAATGAAATGTAGATATTTTGGCTTGCTGATTGTTCTAACAGGTTTATTCTCAATGCCTGTAAGGTAATTAAGTGTGGAGGTGTACATATGTTTGGTTATTTTAAACTGCATCCTTGGGATGCATGACTTGAACCATCAAAATCATTGGTCGATGTCACAAAAAAACGTTGTCTGAAAGTGAATATTTACAGTGATGGAAAAATGTTATAACATATAAACTAAAAACAAGATATTAAACCTTTGAGTATGTAACTGAATTTCGGGTGGGTTCTTGAAAAGGATCAATTATCCACAAAAAATGAAATTTGACCTTTTTTGTACTTTTCAATATCAAAATCCACTAGTTGCACTTTTGCTTGGTGATGTATGCATGTGCAATACTAAAGTGGGAAATTGAAGGATGTGCGAGTATTCCGTTTGTTACACTAAGAGGAAAAGTTTCTGTGATACCGTGGGGTTAAATTCGCTTGTTGCACCAATTGGCTATAAATGTCAAGTCGGATAAATCCAATTATAGCTTCCAAAGGGTTAAACGAAAACTAAAACCTGAAATTCTGATACTACATAAAGAATAATTTCATCTTGAATTTCAGGTATCAAACTCCTAAGTGAAAAGAAAAAGTAAACCTATTAAATAGGCAAGAAAATTAGTTTCAAATTTGTTAACAATATCATAAAAGCCTTAAAAATTTAATATTAAACAAGAGGTAGAAAAAGCAATAATAAAAAATTACAACAGTTTTATTCAAATGTTAATTTTTTCATTTGTATATGGAGCCAAAGACTGTTTAATATTTACTCTGAATGAGATGCTCATATTTAAATACACAGAGAAGTAATGACGATAAAGCCCTGATGTTCTGTAACATACGGCAGGAAGTGGTAAAGAACCAAACATTGAGAACTGCTTTCAATATTCAAAATTAGCCTGCATAGAAAAGCCAATTACCTTCGCTAGCTGGGAATGAGTCTTGTTGTACATGGAGGCACCAATGTCTGCTGCAGGCCCTGTACCAGCTACTAGCAGTCCCATGAAAGAGTTAACAATTATAATTATATGCACCTTTCACACAAACATACTAGGTCAGACAAAAACAAAATAGAAATAAAATTATATAAAGAATGTTTGTTTTTTTATTATGTTTAATGCTACAATAACTTGTATATTAAACTTTGAGCTGATGGGCTAAACCTTCAGTAAAGTCTCAGTACCTTCAAAACACAAACTTTAGTGAAATAATTGTCTTACCTATAGCCCCTGGGTTTCAAGTAATATGTAGTGAGAGAGATAGAAAACAGATACACAACCAAAATTATGCTTTTAAAATGAAAAACTTGCATTTAATATTTTACAGATGGCTTTTATAAAATATCAAAAATATATATAACATTAAACAGCTGCATAATAAACACAACAGGGCAAAGCAAATCTATATAAATATAATAGTACTGTCTGTCCATATAACTACTTAGCAAAGTGTGAATGGATTTTCACCAAAATTGGTATGGAGGTTCATTATAGGCCTATGCAGGAGTATGTATAATTTTTCAGTTTTTATGGGCATTTTTGCATTTCTTACCACTACTGGATCTTCACGAAATTTGGTATGGAGGGTCATTGGGTCCATGGGGAGATACATACAAATTTTTAGTTTTGCACTTTGCAGTTTTTATGGGCATTTTTAATCACTACTTGCCACCTGTTAATGAATCTTCACCAATTTGACACAAAGGTTTTTTTGGGTCTATGCAGAAACACATGCAGTTTCACATTTTGTATTTTGCAGTTTTTTATGGCCATTTTTTACAATTACATATAAGGGAAGCAATTTTTCATGTCCTAAGATAACCTTTCATTAATCAGGAATTCACATAACTTCTGTCCAGGGGACAGGTATTCCAGCTAGTAAATAAATAATCTTATTTACTGTACAACTATTTAACATTTTTACTATTTTACTTATGCACAAGTGCAATTAATTTATGGCTTTTACAATTTAACTCGTTTTTTTTTCTGTCATAAAAATAACAAAGTAGACCAAATTTAATTGAGCTTTATATTTTAGGTACAAACTAATATAATGTATTTCCCAAACTGGCGATTATTACAGTAACGTTTCTACCAAAGGACTAGGTACATATGAAATTAGTACTGTTAATGTATCTACATATAGAAAGCAGAGTCGGCCGTCTGTCCGGTGTGTTGATGTTACATGTTGTTGGACGAACTGGCTGAACCAACGATGGAACATGGTAGAGAAATTAAGGCATGGTTTAGCAGTCTTTTCAATTTTACCACCTGAATGTCTCAACTGACTGAGAACGTCAGTAACAAAATAAGTGATGCTTAATGCCCAACAAAACATGGGTACTTTTGCATTAGAGTTTGTGTGCTATATCCCAAAATAGTGGCCCACACTACATTTACAGCATTACATTGCTGAGTACATACACATATTTGAACATTCTACACATATTCACAAACCTTTTCATACAAGCTGATTTAGCTGTTTCAGTACTGTTTCTTGTTGCTCAAGTGTACATAGGGTATACCACACAACCAAAACAAGGGTTAAACAGTATCAGTTATCAACTTCAACTGCTACAAACGTTAGTAAAAAGGTTTTTACTTCTGTGTTTTAAACTCTGGAATTTTAGACCTTTTGTAAACTTCAGACACACAAGCTTTCCCTAACTAGCCCATTTTAAGTTTCAGAAGTTTAGTATTTTCTAACTATATTATATGATAGTTCTTTCATTATTGTATTCTTCTTTATTCAATCCTGGGCACCAATTACATAAAGTTTAATATTTTTGGCCAAAATAATACATCTTCACTTTGTTGTATTAATAAATACACTGGTGAACATAATTAAGGAGAGAACTTACATGATCCTGTTACACCTTTCCCTTGACCCTGAGAACCAGCACCGTAGGCACTCTTTGAGTAGTCTTGTGTCTGGTTCAAACTGTCATAGGCTAAAATGGAAATGTTCCAGTAAGTATAACGATAACATTACAGCACACGGGTCATAATGAGAGAGACCACCATAAAAAAAAAGTTATATTTAAATGCTTTTTTTTTATTGATACATAAATATTTTTATTTTTAAATTATTTTCCAGCACACTGAACTTCTCAGTTCAAGTAAAAATATTAAATATCTCATGATGTTTAATTTTTACAAGCCTTAACCACACACTGTCATTGTAAGATAAAATAAAAAATATCACCCAGTTTTAACTTTAGTAGTAACAAATCTATTGATTTGGTTAGGCTTAGAGAGGTATCAAAGTCTGAACTCAACACTAACAGTGGTTGAGGACATCTAAGTTACATAGCACTTTCACTAGGGTGAAGCAGAACAGTTAAAAGCTTTATCATCTGACATCTTCTGGACCTGGGCAGTACCAGATGGGCAAAACATTTGGATAAGAAATTGTTTCCCCTGTAATATGTTACAGGAGAAAATTTTGACATCTTGGAATGTTCTAAAGTACAGTATTTCTACATGATCTGTAATAGTAAAAGTTTTAAACAACAAATATTGTAAAAAAAGACCTTAAACTGTATAAACCCATTTATAAGTAAAGTATTTTAAATGTGAATCACAGTACAGACAGCTAACAACTGATGCTAGCCAGAAGAAAAGAATGTAAACAAAGTCACAGTAGTGTCGTTAGGCTACAATGAGCATTTGTATTTTGAGATATTGAAATTTCTTGTTACGAAGATGCCGGATAACAAAGCTTTCAATGTAAATGGTTAATATATATTACTAGGTTTGTATTCTGTCTACAAGTGGAGTGATTGTTCAACATAAACAAATATTATATAGAACATTTATGTGAGAAAAACAAAGACACTGAGGTTAACTATCCCCCAATATTATACGAAGTAGGTTTTGTTATTAAGTTATACCTTCTTGTCAGTCTATAGTGTAATTCCCCACAGAGAAGCTGAGTATTTAGGGATTTTACTATCTGTAGGTAGAGTAATATTTCACTTTTATGATAATAACTCTACACTGAACAAAGCATAATCAAATAAACTTGTGATCTCCAACATTCAGTAACTACACATACAGTTCCACTTGATGACCACTTTTGGCTAGTTTGTTCAACATCAACCCTACACTCTTCAGTCATTTGTTAAAATCTTACCTTTAAATAAGTCACAATTAGAGCCCAACAACTTCTTCACTTCTAAACTTTTTTATTCCATCAAGTTTTAGAATTATTGTATTACTATAAAAATAACTTCACCAACATGATCTGCTAATGGAAATTAGAGGAAGGAACTAAAAAGATTAGTTTATGAAAAATGGAAATTTAAAAAAGTTCTCAAAATTTTGCAAGTAAAGAAATACAATGGTTCTTCCTAGGGTAACAGAACGGTTTCTATGAATTAACACAAAGAAATACTTATTAAATGCAGTTTATCATAAAAGACATCTAAACTACTAACCTGAAGTGTATGATAGAGAACCATAAGCTGCAGCTTTCTGAAATTGAGTGTTAGTGGATACACCATGAGCATTAGTAGCAGGCGGAACCTTAAGAAACAAACAAACATCCGCTAAATCTTGAAGGATAATACCTTCACTTCTCAAACTATTTTAAAGTTGTTCCTAACTGTGTATGTAACACACACACAGATTCATTATAATAGTTATGATACAACGTTTAATAACAATTGTTTTTTTTTACATTGAAGAAAGCTAACATTTTAGATCTTTTAAACAAAATATTCACACAAACAAAACCTTTTGGTTCAAATGGATTACAATAAGAAAAACTCACTATTTATTTAATTGAAAATATAACAAATAACTTACAACTGAATGAATGTAACTGCTAAAGTAAAAAGCACTGTGAAATTAACAGAAGTTGAAACAACAAATCATTGTTGTTAACTATACGAAGAATATGTCACCTTTAAAAACCACAGATTATATACAAAACTTAGTGTATGTCAACAAAACGTTGATGTGTGTATTGCCTATCAGTAAATTATACATTTGTGTTTTTTATCCTTACCGGGATAAACGGAGCTCCGTACTGATGCATGCTGCCTGGCATCATTCCTGGAAAATAATAACCATAACCAGGGGGCAGTGCAGCTGGGTTTAAGAATGGGTGCCCGTGGGTCTGTGTTGTTGCCTGGCCCTGAGATAAAGTTGTAGCCACTGCTGAGCCATCAGGATCGCCTCTGCTAAATTTTCCATCAGCTCCTGGAAGAAAAGTTTATGCACAAAATGTCATTGGAATTATGAAACGTTACACTTTAGAATAATGATTTCCTTTGCAATATCAAAATTTTTAATATGCATGTATATATAAAATACGTTTATATATTATTATTATTAACTTCAATTTTTATGTAAAATTTAACCAAAATGGTAAGTTCATTCTATTATATAAAAACAACAACAACAAACATGTCTAACCCTTCTTAGGACTAATA